TCTGCATTTATCACTGTTAAGTTGCAACTATGTGCTAAGAATGGCGCCTCTAACTGATAATACTGATGACAATGCCGTCAAAGCGTCTATGATTGTACCAAGTCAACAGTTCGATGCTGGAAATCATCAAGAATACTATATTAGAGGGCAAGGTCTCCATGTCGCTCTGATCAAGTTGAAAAAATGAGATAAAATCAATACTATACAGCCTTAGTTCATCTGAAATATTTAATCTGAACAAAAAACCCTTTAATCTTGCTAATCAAGCTGTGAATATGGTATTTATAGTCTATTTTAGGTAATAAATTAAAAATCTAGAATTTTAATACAAGGTCACGCAAAAATAACTTAATATTATATGTTGGACAGAAATAGATCATCTATGCCAATCAGATTATTTACTTCATCTTAGTAAATTTCCTAAAGAATGGATGTTTTTAATTTAAATCATAAATACGTATTAAATAATAATAAGTCCCTGAATTTCACAATGTACTGATGTTTTTCTTACAAAGTCGAACAAACCGGATATACAACTAAAGAAGTTGAAAATACAATGTAAAACATGGCTTTTTTATGTCGCAAAAAATTATAATATTACATTGTGTAACAATCAAATACATTTTAATGCATTTATTGCAGTTGCTTTAACCAATATTATTTTAATGCGTCTTTAGATTTAGGCTCGGTTTGTCTTCTTCCCTATCTCCTGTTCGCTTTAGTTCTAGCTATGTTCAAGGGAGCAGCGAAAGAGGCCCAAAGGGCTGCAATGTTAATGAAACAACGTGAAAAGGAGCGTCAAGATATAGAATTTCAGAAGAAACGTCTTGAAACTGAATTAAGAGTCGGCGAAATCACTGATAAGTTTGCAGTCCACTATGATGCAATTGAACATCAACTCAAAACGGAGACGGTATTTTATCACTTTCTTTTTTTAGCGACTATTTAAGATTGGATTGGTAACTCTTGATGAAATGAAAGCTAGACAACAAGCTTTTTTGACTATGAGAGAGAAAGAAATAGCAGCTGGAAAACTACATGATTCTAAGTTAAAAGAAGGCAGTGGTGATCGTAAGGCCAAATCTCAAGGAGTATGTATTTATTTTAGCCCGCTCAATTTTTTGAGGGTCCTGTATCCTTTGCATTAGATGATGAAAGTATGTCTGAAAATGAAGGTTGTGAGTCACCTAAACTTACACCTGATTCCAGCAAAGTATGTATTTATATATACATTCCATACTTAAATTTAGAGCAAAGCCAAATTGATTTCTTCACAGCCTAGCTCGGGATCAGATGATCAAGAGAATTATGATCAGATTGCTAAAAGGAGACGTCTTGGCAAAAATCCTCTTGTTGACACAAGTTTTCTCCCCGACATTGATCGTGATGAGGAAGAGCGACAACTAAGGTAGGTCTTCGATAGTTTTATTGTCTCGCAAACTATATAATTTATATTTACTTATTTAAAATCATCCTTTTTAATTTTATGTCGTCCCACTAACAGAGAACAACTGAGAGAAGAGTGGGTTGCTAAACAGGCTTCAATTAAAGAAGAAGAAATAAGTATAACATACAGCTACTGGGATGGATCTGGCCACAGAAAGGTAGTTAAAATGAAAAAAGGCCATTCTATTCATCTGTTTTTGCATCGTTGCTTGGAGCAATTGCGCAAGGATTTTAACGAATTAAAATCTGCTACTGCTGATCAGCTCATGTATATTAAAGAAGATCTCATAATTCCTCATCATTATACTTTCTATGATTTCATTGTCACCAAAGCTAGAGGAAAATCAGGCCCCTT